CACATGGGGACAAAGATCATACTTTTTGGAGAAATGTCCTCTGGTCTGATGAAACAAAAATAGAACTGTTTGGCCATAATGACCATCGTTATGTTTGGAGGAAAACGGGGGTGGCTTGCAAGCCGAAGAACACCATCCCAACCGTGAACCACGGGGGTGGCAGCAACATGCTGTGGGGGTGCTTTGCTGCAGGAGGGACTGGTGCACTTCACAAAATAGATGGCATCATGAGGAAGGAAATTATGTGGATATATTGAAACAACATCTCAAGACATCAGTCAGGAAGTTAAAGCTTGGTCGCAATTGGGTCTTCCAAATGGACAATGACCCCAAGCATACTTCAAAAGTTGTGGCAAAATGACTTAAGGACAACAAAGTCAAGGTATTGGAGTGGCCATCACAAAGCCCTGACCTCAATCCTATAGAACATTTGTGGGCAGAACTGAAAAAGCGTGTGCGAGCAAGGAGGCCTACAAACCTGACTCAGTTACACCAGCTCTGTCAGGAGGAATGGGCTAAAATTCACCCAACTTATTGTGGGAAGCTTGTGGAAGGCTACCCAAAACATTTGACCCAAGTTAAACAATTTAAAGGCAATGCTACCAAATACTAATTGAGTGTATGTAAACTTCTGACCCACTGGTAATGTGATGAAAGAAATAAAAGCTGAAATAAATCATTCTCACTACTATTATTCTGACATTTCACATTCTTAAAATAAAGTGGTGATCCTAACTGACCTAAGACAGGGAATTTTTACTAGGATTAAATGTCAGGAATTGTGAAAAACAGAGTTTAAATGTATTTGGCTAAGGTGTATGTAAACTTCCGACTTCAACTGTACCTACACATACTGGAGTATGTTTGTTCCTTATATGCCACACGTTATTTTATATCAAGTTATATAGTTGTTTGATATCTAAGTGGTACTTCAGGCATTCATATCCGGTGCACTCATGTTGGAATGAGATTCACTAATAAAGATAACTTGTGGGAGCAGCAAACAGTGAGCTGTTGTTCACTTTCTTTTCATCGCAGTGCTAGCTGTGCCACTAGAGATCCTGGTTCGAAACCAGGCTCTGTCGTAGCCGGCCGCGACCGGGAGACCCATGAGTGCACAATTGACCCAGCGTCGTCCAGGGTAGGGGAGGGAATTGCCGGCAGGGTTGTGGGTTCGATTCCCACGGGGGGCCAGCATGAAAACAATAAAAATAATGTATGCACTCACTAACTGTAAGTCGCTCTGCATAAGAGTGTCTGCTAAATGACTAAAATGTAAATGTTGAGTGGTGCCCCAAGAGGAATATTACTCCTTCATCATAATTACATCCCACTTACCGGTCACTTTGTTAAGACACAAGGGTTTGCACCTTAATTTCCCACATTCAGCAATCAATTATTGCAGCTGTTTGAAATTACAGGTACTGCAAGGGCAATTACTGTCAAATATACTGTTACAGTTAACCCTGCTACAGGCCAATACTAAAACAATCACTCTCAATGGCAACAGTATGTATGTTCCAATCATGATCCCTATCAAAAAGGGAACCTTAATATATTTTGTGCACCATAATATAGTGTTTTTTATTAGTTTTACTATGTGGCTGACAGCTAATACATTTTAAAGGTACAGATCACCCAAATTACTAAATTGCATTATGGTTTCCATACCCTGTAAGCAGTCTTCGGACAAGGAGAGACAGCAATCCATGCTTTGGTTTGGTTAACCTGAATGCAGTTGGTGACTGTCCAAAAACATTTGAGTCAATATCCCTCAAATTAGCATGTTTTAAATGTCATGCTCAAATCTTCCCAACGTGTATGTGTAGCTCAATTAATTTAGTTTAGGATGATTTGTAACATATACATTTTGAATGAAGAAGTTTTCTTTGGAAATGAGCACTGGCTATGATGACACAGGCTCTATAAACAAACAGCACTCCCAGAGAATAAATAATCTCTTCGCTTCCCATAAATGCCAACTGTTTTAAACAATAGCCTAACCATACTGTGTGTTTGGCACGGTTAATAGATAAATTATATAAAAATAAAGGCTCAATAGCAGTGTTCTGTCATATTGTCTTTAGAGTGGGTGGCTCATGAGTCTTGGCAGGTGAAAGTGCAGGTTGATCTGGGCAGATCAGGATTAACAAGGTGTAACAGGGGATTTCCACAGAGGACTGTTAATCAGGCACTTGGCATGAGAGTAGTGGGACTTTTGAACCCTGAACACACACAAGCATTTATTTGACTTAGACACATTCCTTTTCACCTGAGTGAGTGCTGACTCTCAGTGCATCGGGACAGGATAAAACCCCATAAAAAATTTTTTTTTTTAATATTGAGAAATTGTATGGAACTAATGGTGTGGTACTTGGTAATTGTTTCATTATCCATTTCATTGTGTCTTTATGTTGCAAATCCAGACTGTCCAGACAAAAGAAGAAGGAAAACATTATGCTCTGAATGAAAGATGTGTAAAAAGTGAGCTGTAAGAAGGAGGCAAGGAGCAAATATAATCAAAGATACATATTAATCAGGTACATAATACAGCAGAACTGATAATATAAATGGAGGGTGGTTCCTTATCCCAAAGGGCTCAATATCCCCAATATCATTCTAATGCATTGAGTTCATCCAGCCCATAGAGACCTAGCTAAATAGAAAAGACTGAGAGACCAGACAGACTCATTTCTAAGTAGGATTAAGGTAGGGAATTCAATATGTAAATGTATAATTTGGCTGAACTACCTTTTATGTTAGTGGGACCACTTTCAGTTGCTTATGAATGATTTGTGAAGCATTCATAGGCCTTATAAAGGGTTTATGAAAGGGGAACACACTTCAGGGCTTGAGACAGTTAGATGATCTGAACGTGATGGGCGATGAGGTTGGGGTTCTATATGAGGGATGATGCCTGCTTTGTTTTGAAAAGCTACACCGTGTTCTTGGGGAGCTACCTTTTCATACAATTAACATCCTTTGTTTGTACCTAAAACCCTGCCTCCCCTCCACTCCCACCAATGCCAGAACCCAAAACAGTACCAAACCACCTTGTCACATTTGTCAATTAAGGTACAAGACAACTAATTTAGGCCATTGCGCACCACAGCTAACTTTCCAATTGGCTGGTATAGAAACTCAGGAACCTATGAGCCATCAGTAAGAGTTTTACCAGGGTTCAAATAGTATGTATTTTCTTTCATATACTGTACTTTGAGTGTTTGATTGAGCCTGCCTGGAGTGTGAGATGGGTGAGTTTGTACTTTTGGGACTGTTCCATTGGTTCAGTTGTGCCAGGCAAGCTCAATCAAGCACAGCTAACATATCTGAAAGAATAAACAAATGCTATTTGAACCCAGGTCTGCAGAGGACAGCAGTTATAACAGCAGGGCCCAATATTTAATTGGAGCTCATAGGCCCTATAGATTCCTTTAATTTCATATGAAGTTCAGCATCATCTGGAGGTCAGGAGAAAGGGCCATACTTGAAGGCCTCTTTCAACTATTGTACTCTCCTTGTGTCCAGTGTTTGCAATTGCATCCCTCCTCCTCCCCTTCTCCACCTTCAGTCTAGTATCTCATAGGTTATTCAGAGGATCTACTGATGACACGACAAACACTAGCGTTACCTGCAGCCCCTGGCTTCCTCATTATTAACTCATTATTAACTAATGAGAGCATACCCAGACATGCTTCAGCTCAGCTTGTATAAAAAGAGAAAAAGGTGCTCAACTGAGGATTTAGAAATCCAATGAGAAACATCTTACCCCAGAACCCTTCACAAGATCACTATCCCAGAAAACTGGTTGGTTCATGAGTTGGATGTCATAAGAGGTCAAGGACCACAGCAGGTATGTGCTGCATTATGCCTGCAGCCTGCATACATGAGAAGGTTTGGATTTTGGATGTGAGCCTATGCTACAATAATCATGGCTGCTGCTGCTGATCTAACATAATATTTATAATAGAACACAGGAGAGTGATAGTAAACTTCTGGGGGGAAATGTACATTAATAAATTCTGACCCTAACATCCTACTTCTGATTTGTGCACGCAATTGGCAGCCACTGGATTATGCTTTCCATTATGCAAAACTCGTGCGCATTTGTTAAGCCCCCTTTGACCTGTTGTGTGTAATAAAAACATGAAATCTTTATTCAAGTTGTTATTTATTTTATTGATTAATCTTTTTGGTGATATGTAACGATATGTTGATTTTGGACAGGCATGCCTACTTCTAGCCCTGCTCAACCCTGCTTTATCTCGGCCTCAGAGGAGATACGGATCCCGAGGCAGAGGAGGGTGCGCTCGGAGGGTAGAGTGGAGACAGGCGTCTCTTGAGTTGGATGTGAACTGATGTAACGTGGACTTGCGTCTGCCTCCATAGAATACAAATTTTCACGTAAAGAACGGTCAATATTAACCTTATTGTTGTGTGTTTTTCTTCTGTTTTGTAATGACAAGCGCTATAAATATTAATTATATATCATTATCGCTAGTCTATTGTCATTTATCTTTCAATCTAGTTAATGTGGTGGCAGGTGTAGTGGTTTTTGGACATGTTTATTTGGGTCCAACAAGGGGCTGGTCTTAGCAGTAAATATGATTCAATAACTTGAAAATGATTGATCTATTTAAGTTTATGTTTCTAACTAAGCTTATGTGTGCAAATGAACAGGGAAACTAAATATTGAGTTGAAGGGGATGATGCTGCTAATTTCCTTTGGGTAGGCTTTTCAATTAATTGACAAAATTATACTGTCTTGTAAAAAGAAGGATGACATCATTAGATTTGTTTTGATATATATCTCAATCACAGTCAATAACTAACTAGATAGCGCCAAGGCCATACATATCCAGCAAACACTCCGAAATGCAAAGCAGGCCTACATCTCAAAACAAGTGCCACAAGTGTCAACGTTTGACATCGAGTTACAGACATTGTTTTGACTATACATTCTACTGTATTTACACAGAAAACAAAGACCGAATGGATCTTCAAAGGTAGCACATCTCTGAACTTGACAATTCCCGCCTGAAATAGCTGTCCTCCACAGGCGAGGCGTGTACACAGTCTGTTGTGCCATAAGTTACGTATTCTGGAGTGGAGCTGCTTTCCTGGGTACCCGACCAATGGGACAGGCAGTAGCAGTGCTGGAGGTTGCAGTGCTGGTAGTGGTAGTGCTCTGGAACAAACCCATAACTCGAGTCCATCCTCTCCGGAGAGTTGTAACACGACGAAGAGTAAGACTCCTGTGGCGAATAATTATTGTAGTCGACCGGACTTGGCATATTTAGAGAACCTGATGGTGAGCTGGGAGCCTGAAAAACAATCCAGAGATGTGCATTAATATTGTTGTACAGTATAACCAAACCATGTTCTATTCCGAGCCAACTCTCTGGACGAACAAACAGCCTGAGCTTTGTCAAATATTTCAGCTGACGGCGCGAAATTGCAAAGACAGGCGATTGCCCAAGCGAATTTGAATAAAGTATACCATGCCATTGACGTAATAGTCCATATTCGGGGAGTGATTTTCTTGGGACCAAAGTTTTGTTGAGGTAGCGGGATGCAGAATACCACTGCTGTAGGTCTCGTTGAGCATCATCATGCTTATCAATTGTTGATTATTGAAGCTCTCCATCTGGACGTTGCTGTCTGGAAAGGCCCGCGGATGAAAGCTGCCGTTGGAATTCATATCTTCAGGGAAATAATCAAAATAATGGCCTATAGGAATGAACGAGAAGGATTAGTGAGAGGGTGCACACATAAACACATGCAGGGGCCATTTAAAAAAGTGAATACTCCAGAAGTGATGTCACGGCACCACCAGCCAACAGCTAAAAAACACATTTGAATGCAAGTTTATAAAAAGGTATATATGTTCCAACTATTCTCCTGTGGTCGTTGATTCTCCATGTAAGTGTCAATTTAGATATTTTACCTGACCGAATCTGATGTGCAATTCAGACGCTCCGACAATATTTTATAATAGGCTTATGTGGTGGAATTGACAGCTATTTAGCTATTTGCATGTATGATGCATAATGCATTGCCTTTTGTCTTTTTGATCGAAGCTTGTTTATTTGATTATGGTTTACTGCAACGCCCAACTGGACATTTAAAAAAGCATTTTACTGTACTTTACTGTAGGCTACATGTACTTTCGTTAGCAGGTTTGGATACAGTCAAAAGCATTACTTTTTTTACTATAGAACATTTATTCATGACTTTCCATGGTGATGCTTTACCATACAATGATTTTGCGATCAAGATAATGTCAGACAATGGAATGCTGTATAGAAATACTGATTTATATGGACATATTTGAACTTACCTGGCAAGGAGGAGGAGTCGCAAACATCCTGACTCGCCAAGCTCTGGGATTTCTATTCATTTTGGAAAAGAAAAAAGAAAGGGATAAAGAGTGAAAACATAAGTCCCCCTTGATTTGCAACGGTTCGATTTTTTGGCTGGTTCTTTTTCATACCCGGAAAATGACGCATTTGCGATGCATCACCTAACAAGTAGCCTACCACCCACTGTATAGCACAATAATGGCATTTGCCGATTTGTTTCTTCTCTTCTTTTCGGAGGGTTGATTGTGTGTGTGTGTGTGTGTGTGTGTGTGTGTGCGCTCATGCGTGTGTGAGAGAGAGAGAGAGAGAGAGAGAGAGAGAGAGAGAGAGAGAGAGAGAGAGAGAGAGAGAGAGAGAGAGAGAGAGAGAGAGAGAGAGAGAGAGAGAAACAGGCTATGTGCACACTGCCCACAAAATGAGGTGGAAACTAAGCTGCACTTCCTAACCTCCTGCCAAATGTATGACCATATTAGAGACACATATTTCCCTCAGATTACAGCGATCCACAAAGAATTCGAAAACAAACCCAATTTTGATAAACTCCCTTATCTACTGGGTGAAAAACCACAGTGTGCCATCACAGCTGCAAGATTTGTGACCTGTTGCCACAAGAAAAGGGCTACCAGTGAAGAACAAACACCATTGTAAATACAACCCATATTTATGTTTATTTATTTTCCCATTTGTACTTTAACTATTTGCACATTGTTACAACACTGTATATATACATAATATGACATTTGAAATGTCTTTATTCTTTTGAAACTTCTGAGTGTAATGTTTACTGTTAATATTTATTGTTTATTTCACTTTTGTTTACTATCTACTTCACTTGCTTTGGCAATGTTAACACACGTTTCCCATGCCAATAAAGCCCTTAAATTGAATTGAATTGAGAGAGAGAGAGAGAGAGAGAGAGAGAGAGATCCAATAACTATTAGCCTACAGTATGTATTTTCAATTAAGGGAGTGGCTCCAATAATCAGCGTAATGTCCCACTGTTACTGCTAAACGATTATCAATTGATAGGCTACTAGAGAGTAGACCTGATTGTCAATCATTAATGAGACATGCAACTTCGTGTTTGGGGTAAGGTTGGTGGCTGTTGCCGGAATTGAGGAAGTTACTGCAATGGGGATTTCATGGAGAGAGCAACACCTCCAACTATGCTGAGACTGTGTGTGGTGTGTGTGTGTGTGTGTGTGTGTGTGTGTGTGTGTGTGTGTTTGTGTGTGCGCACGCGTGTGTGTGTTTGTGTGTGTGCACGCCTGCATGCGTGCGTGCGTACGTCCTTGCGCGCCAGACAGGGCGAGACAAGAGAGAGTGAGGTGGTAATTACCATTCTAACTGTTTGAATTGCTGTCTGGAGAGCTCTCTGCTGCTGCAGCAACTCTTTAACCGTTGTCTTCACCCGCACGCCCTGGTACACCTTTGGCTTATCTGTGGTAAGAGAAAAACATGGTATCGATGATTACTGTAAACAAACTTGAATGGTCCCAACCCTGCCACTATCGAGCACTTTCACTGCCTGCTGCATACTTTCACGCAACAATTTAGTTAGGCCTACTTAATCATTAAAAAACATTGAAATATTATTAAAAACACATTTCAATATCACTATAAGATAAGGGATGTAGCTCAGTTGATAGAGCATGGCGTTTGCAACGCCAGGGTTGTGGGTTTGATTCCCACGGGGGGCCAGTATAAAAAAAATATGTATTCACTAACTGTAAGTCGCTCTGGATAAGAGTGTCTGCTAAATGACTAAAATGTAAATGTAAATGTTTGTATCAGGGTATTTAATGTAATGTATTACACCTAGACTTATTTGTGAATTTCGTACGAATTATACAATATAATATGAACAAACAACTGTCCTTACGCATCGCTCAAATGTTGCCCAAGTTATTGTATCAAAGTTGCCCATGCGAAAGGCAGAAATGTATTATTGACCTACCTAGGTCTGTAGTCTCTTCCCTGTAGACTACCTTTGCGAGAACCTCGCACAGCAGAGACCGGGTTTCGAATTTCACAGTCAATACAGTCGGCTTTCCTTCACACTAATTTCAAGCACAAAGGAAAGCTGTGCTAAAATGCTATTATGAGTGTAACTTTTCGAGTTTATTTAGATAATATATTTATTTTAATTCCATACATAGGCCTAAAACACAAGTTAAGCGTTGCGATCCATGAAAGGGGCTGATAGTAGCATATTCCGTGAAGGTAGGGAAGTGAAATTAGGCTACAGGTAAAGCGGGCAAACAGCGGCCTCGTAAGAGTCAATAACAAAGAAACCAAAGGACTCAACAAATCCGGTGAAAATAAGGTGAACATTGAAGATTTCGCTTGAGAAATTCGTCCGATTATAAAAGTAAGTTACTTTTACGCACCATACTTAGCCTACATATCGTTGGTAGGCTATGGGATAACAATATGAGCTTTAGCCTACCCGAGGGTAAAATAAAAGTTGTTTTGATGATAATATGATTCCCGTTAGCCTATCGAAGTCCCACGCCTGACAATTACGCAGTAAAACTATTCCGTTTTCTGTAAAACTCATCCATCGAAGCAGGACTAGATTTTAAATTAAATTGCAGACTAATTTACGCTATCAAAACATAGCCTACTGTAAATTATCGGGTAATTGAACTGTAATAGGCCGATAGGTTAGAGCCGTTGCCTATACATACTCTTAACACATGTTTAGTGTTTTAGTGCAGTAGCATAGCTTTTGGATTTTTATGCTAAAATGAACAGTACTCATATATGTACGTCTTCGATTGTATGTCATGGCTTTAGTTCTAAATATAAGGGGGTATAACGTTCTACTCCAATGACTAAAGTCATTACAGAAACGACGCCACACAATGGTAGAACTCATTAAGGCAGTCAGAGACAATCTCAGGAGTGGAACGTTGGCGGTAAAGGTGATTATATAATAGCAGCTGCCTCCGCAGAATCTAAAGAGGTGTGCTTGGCTATTCAAACCCATCCTTTTAAATATTCATATACTGAAATGTCAGATCATGATTTGTCTTAAATGTGGCAAATAGTAAAGCTACCCAAAAGACACATCCCACAGATTACTGCTTCAAATTACCATTTGTAAATTTACATATTACAGTGTAATTACAATGACTACAATTACAGTTGAATCGACAAGAATAATGCAAATAAAATCGCGTTTGAGTTTAGTTATCCTCACGCCCTAACGTGGACGAAGTGGCCAAAAGTAGTGACGTTTAAGAAATAAGGAAAACACTATTTTATAACGTTGTTCGATTCAATAGAAAAATATTGTAAAAGAAAATAGCATACATCATGCAGGTAATAGGCATGGCATTAATCCACATTAGTTAAAACACGAGTTGCATACTTTATCTCTAAGGTTTTCATAGAACCTTGCAGTTCCCATAGAAGCTGAAACAGCATGTTGTGCAATGTCAATTCTTTCCAATCGTTTTGTTCTAACATTTATATTTTTTCTTTCTTTTTTTCAGGAAGAATGTAAAAGAGAACCATGATCTGAAGAAAAAAGAATTAGAAACTTACCAGACATGTTGTAAAATGTAAGAAAGAGTCCTGGAAGAAGAGCAGTTATGAGATTCCACAATGTCCTTTTCTGGCTCAGTTATATGGGCTATAATGAAATATTCATAAAAGTCACACAAATTCTCAACACACAAGTCTTAAAACTGTCTCAGAGCATACAATAATATCCTAATATAGCTAGGGATGTATTAGTTTGTGAAATTTTCTCTCCATGCCTACTTTTTAAAACCCCTAGAACTCAATGATTTGACAATGATTTGATTGCGCGTTACTTTTAATTTGAATATTCAACGGCTACTCAAAAATACATATTTTTCAGTGTAAATCAATACATATGCACTTAAAATAACATTCAATTTAATAGAATACAATACTATTTTATACCCAAACCAAAAAGAAATTGATATTTTAAACATTTTATCCATCTTTTGCCAATCTGGTCATCAGTCATAGTGAGGCACTACAGGAAAGTAACGGTTAGATGTCCTATCTAAACATCACCAACCATTACACATCGCAGATCATATGTATTTCAGGATGGATAAGCACATCAACACGTTATCACCATACATTTTTAGTCTTATTTTAAACAATAAAATATTAAATGTCTCAGTTGTGGGCGTGGCATATGGCAGCAGCCATGTCTGCCATCACTGACTCCATTGCTTCTTCAGCAAGTGCATGCTCCCCATCAGTGGAGCTCACATCACCCATGTGTTACCAATTGTATTATAGTGGTTTTAGCATTATTTAGTTTAGTTACATTAATTATATCCATTATCCATATAAATATAAAGGCTGAAGGTTTCAGTCATTCACATGTCAAACCTGATTTGGCATCCCAGGGCTAGGCTACTTTATAGATAGCCTATAGACTATATATAGGATATGTATAAGGTAGCCTAGCATCATACGAATCTAGAAAACTTTTTACAAATGAATTACAATGCAAAAATTATGTTTACAAATGTCTGATATCATTTCAATTCAATGAGAAGACGCCTTGATTACTCTACTTGGGTAGCCTAGGCCTACTTAGATGTTGTCAAAGTATTTTCAATTTATAGACTTATTGGAATAGGGATAATGTCCATGCCTGTTTTAATGTATAAGAGTTTACAACTTAATACATATGATATGAACAAACATGTTATCAGAAGGCAATTTTCACTCAAATCTTTTAAGAAAACATGAGCACATTGCCTTAGAGAAAACCGTTTCCTATAAGTGTTCTTCCATTGCCATTGTGAGCCTACATTACATTTGAATAACAATTTACAAACATATCAAACAATGAACACGAACATATACCTCGTTATAATTAACATAGCTTAGATTTCCGTTTTGGGGTATCGATTTATCATTATCATCATTCATATATTGAGAAAATGCACACACTATATGCCCAATACAATCTATGGCCTTTCCTGATTTATACTGGTAGGGGCCTATACAATGATCCTATCATGTAGATTTAAAGCCCATGTAGTTGTATTGGGGTCTTGATCAACTTCTCACCTTCCATAAAGTAGGACTTAGGCCCATTATCCTAACTGCGAAGAATATTATGCTAGTGCTCTTATATAATATTTAACGTTACACTTTTTATTTATTTATTTCTGGCGTTGGAATTTCCTCCCCATGCGCAAAGCTTGTACCGTGAGAGAAGAGGTAACATGAAACAACCGCGCCATCTAGTGTAGGGTATACGTAAGTAGGCTCTCCCTCATAATTGATTGGAGTGGCAGAAAAATTATAAGGGAAAGGAAAGGGGGATACCTAGTTGTACAACTGAATGCATTCAACTGAAATGTGTCTTCCGCATTTAACCCAACCCCTATAACAACTCAACAAACGGAAAAGTAATGTTTTTTTTTATGTTTAATTTTAGCACAAAATATGTTTAATTTTCATAATAATAATATAATATGCCATTTAGCAGACGCTTTTATCCAAAGCGACTTACAGTCATGTGTGCATACATTTTTACGTATGGGTGGTCCCGGGGATCGAACCCACTACCCTGGCTTTACAAGCGCCATGCTCTACCAATTGAGCTACAGAGGACCATAATGCATTTATTGCAGTCTCTTTTATTATATTGTATTTATAATACACATTCTATTGCCCAATACATTATCTATGTTGTTTATTTCTTGAAATGAAAAGCAAAACACAGGAAACATTGATTCATCAGGGAAACTGGTAATTGTCGCAATGGCAGTATATAAATTAAAACGATGTTTTTCTAATATAATGACTATATAAAAACACATCTATTTCAAACATTTGAACACAGGCATAGTCATTCTAAGTCTAACAACTGAATCATAAATGCTCCTTTACATTGTCATGTGCCCATGCAAAGGGTTCCCACTGGGCACAGAGGTCAATTCGATGTCTATTCCACGTTGGTTCAACGTAATTTCATTGAAATGACGTGTAAACAACATTGATTCAACCAGTGTGTGCCCAGTGAGTTAGTTCTTACATACTCTTATGTCACCAGGGGACTTAGGAGGGTCAAAAGTTCCACTTTGTACTTCTATAAAGAGATGAGCAAAGTCTACAAAGTCAAATATTTGGACCACAAGGAGCTGAGTCGCTTGCATCTGCATTATTTTGGTTTTCTGTGAAGAACAGGATGTTTCCAAATGGACTTAATAAGACCTCCGAATCTCATATGGCGACCAAGAGCTTCCGCCATCTTCTTTCACCCACGAGTGTGTGTCACTATGTGTGGCGAGGGTACTGTCAGAGTCCTCATTAGCTAGAGGGGCCATCTTGGAGGCTAGGGTGTTGGAGACAGTCATATAGGAAGGGCATGTGAAAGTGGAGGCGGAAGGGTAAGAGGTGTGGTAGTGTACTTCTTCCATAGGGTGAAGGGCATAGGGCTGTGCCGAGGCCACGGAGGAGCTGCGGGTGGAGCAGCGGTACTGTGACGGGCTCCCGGGAGGGTCGGGGCTGGGCAGGGAGACTGGAACAGAGGTCAGGCCGTCTGCACACAAGCCCTCTCCCTGGGTCACTGGGTCTGCCACTGGCTGCTCCCACGAATCTCTCTGCAGGAGCAACAGACAGAGGAAAGCATAGTGATGTGTTAGAGATTATGGAAAAATTACTCTTGTTTGTTGGTATTGCGGATTGCAGAATACCCTAAGATGTATGTGTAACGAAGTTGGTTTGGAACCACGCTTGTGTAATGATTAACCTTGCTGGAGCCCTGAAGACGTGTTGGCTCCCTGAGCTAATGTCTGGGCTTTATCTCAGTGGGCTAACAAAGGCTTGTATTGCACAGATCTGGGTTTGAACCCAAATCAGTAACATATGGACACACTTCTCACCTGTGTAATTTGATTAATTATTTCCTTCATGCTTGTGTGAAATGTGTGCTTATTTGGATGTACCCTACCCACTCCAGCCTTTATCCCTGTTTACATGCTTTGCGCCATCTCACATCACATAAAAAAACAATAACACATAGGGTGTGTTTCCTGGATTTAGCCTTGAACACACTTCTTAGTCCAGGACTTTAAACCATATTTGAGAAACTGGCCCATAATGTAAAGCCATAGCTCAACAGTCCCATTCTATCACCAGTACTGACCACTGACAGAGTGCCTTACCAGGAGAAAGTGGGGGGACTCTCCAGTGAAAGGTGGTAGCAGAGTGGACAGGGCTGAGCTGGGGAAGATGGAGCTCCCTCCAGTGGTGAAGGCTGCACTACGGTAGTCTCCGAACGTTTCTGTGTAGTAGCTGTCGATGATGGAGGAGTAGCCCGACATGGCCGATGGGTCACAACTCAGAGGTTTGCCCCCCAGGGATGAGGAGTAGACCTCGCCCGAGAACTGCTTGGGAGAGAAGTCCGAGTCGGAGATGAAAGGTCGCCTCATGCCGTAGTAGCTAGGGATCATGTGAGACCCTGTTGTAAAGAGAACCAGGGAGAAAACATAAGTAACAAGTGGTCCTGTGTAGCTCGGTTGGTAGAGCATGGTGCTTGCAACGTCAGGATCGTGGGGTGCAGTTCCGGCTGGGGCCACCCAAAATGTATGCACATACTACTGTAAGTCACTTTGGATAAAAGTGTCTGCTAAATGGCAACACTTTACTTACAGCCTGCAGGTAGGGAACGGGGATACTTAGTCAATTGCACAACTGAATGCATTCAATGGAAATGTATCTTCCGCATTTAACCCAACCCCTCTGAATCATTGAGGTGCTGGGGGCTGCCTTAATCGACGTCATCGGCCCCAGGGGAGCAGTTGTGGAGTTTAACTGCCTTGCTCAAGGACAAAACGGCAGATTTTTTTCACTTGCCGGCTCAGTGACTCAAACAAGCAATCTTGCGGTTACTGTCCCAACGCTCTAACCGCTAGGCTACATGCCACCGCATCTACAGTAAGGGAAAAAAGTATTTGATCCCCTGCTGATTTTGTACATTTGCCCACTGACAAAGAAAAGATCATGTCTATAATTTTAATGGTAGGTTTATTTGAACAGTGAGAGACAGAACAATAACAAAAAAAATCCAGAAAAGCACATGTCAAAAATGTTATAAATTGATTTGCATTTTAATGAGGGAAATAAGTATTTGACCCCCTCTCAATCAGAAAGATTTCTGGCTCCCAGGTGTCTTTTATACAGGTATCGAGCTGAGATTAGGAGCACACTCTTAAAGGGAGTGCTCCTAATCTCAGCTTGTTACCTGTATAAAATACACCTGTCCACAGAAGCAATCAATCAATCAGATTCTAAACTCTCCACCATGGCCAAGACCAAAGAGCTCTCCAAGGATGTCAGGGACAAGATTGTAGACCTACACAAGCCTGGAATGGGCTACAAGACCATCGCCAAGCAGCTTGGTGCGATTATTCGCAAATGGAAGAAACACAAAATAACTGTCAATCTCCCTCGGCCTGGGGCTCCATGCAAGATCTCACCTTGTGGAGTTGCAATGATCATGAGAACGGTGAGGAATCAGCCCAGAACTACACGGGAGGATCTTGTCAATGATCTCAAGGCAGCTGGGACCACAGTCACCAAGAAAACAATTGGTAACACACTACGCCGTGAAGGACTGAAATCCTGCAGCGCCCGCAAGGTCCCCCTGCTCAAGGAAGCACATATACAGGGCCGTCTGAAGTTTGCCAATGAACATCTGAATAATTCAGAGGAGAACTGGGTGAAAGTGTTGTGGTCAGATGAGACCAAAATGGAGCTCTTTGGCATCAACTCAACTCGCCGTGTTTGGAGGAGGAGGAATGCTGCCTATGACCCCAAGAACACCATCCCCACCGTCAAACATGGAGGTGGAAACATTATGCTTTGGGGGTGTTTTTCTGCTAAGGGGACAGGACAACTTCACCACATCAAAGGGACGATGGACGGGGCCATGTACCGTCAAATCTTGGGTGAGAACCTCCTTCCCTCAGCCAGGGCATTGAAAATTGGTCGTGGATGGGTATTCCAGCATGACAATGACCCAAAACACACGGCCAAGGCAATAAAGGAGTGGCTCAAGAAGAAGCACATTAAGGTCCTGGAGTGGCCTAGCCAGTCTCCAGATCTTAATCCCATAGAAAATCTGTGGAGGGAGCTGAAGGTTCGAGTTGCCAAACGTCAGCCTCGAAACCTTAATGACTTGGAGAAGATCTGCAATGAGGAGTGGAACAAAATCCCTCCTGAGATGTGTGCAAACCTGGTGGCCATCTACAAGAAACGTCTGACCTCTGTGATTGCCAACAAGGGTTTTGCCACCAAGTACTAAGTCATGTTTTGCAGAGGGGTCAAATACTTATTTCCCTCATTAAAATGCAAATCAATTTTTTTCTGGATTATTTTTTTGTTATTCTGTCTCTCACTGTTCAAATAAACCTACCATTAAAATTATAGACTGATCATGTCTTTGTCAGTGGGCAAACGTACAAAATCAGCAGGGGATCAAATACTTTTTTCCCTCACTGTAGCTGACCTGCCTCCCCATCTAGGCGACCTGCCGCCCATCTAGGTGACCTGCCACCCAGGTACAATGCATTATGATGGTTTTAATGCATTGTAAGATTTGTCCTAAATATATATGACACCCTTATAATGTGATATTATAATCTCATAAAATCCTGACTAAATAACAATTTTGAGTCAGTAACAAATGTCCTTCATAGAGAGACATGACATATTATAAACCTTATGAAGGCTCATAAAAACTTAAAACAAATAAGTAATAAAACCTTATACCTGCAGGAAAATGTTTCTAGTGGGCAGTAGCTGTCAGAACAAAGCATACATGATAAGTGGAATACACATGCAAAGCTATGGTGGTTACTGTTAACATTGAAAATCTTGTGCCTGGGCTTTTCCACAACCCTTCACCAGTAAATGGGTTTTATTCTACTTTTTCAGAACTTTGCCTGTAAATGTGACATTTAAAAGCTTTTGTCTATAATACTGTACTTCCCTTACCTCAAACACTATTGGGAGAGTTAATAGGTCAGTAGGACTCATCAATAATTACATAATTACCCAGAGATTTTTCTCACCTGGCATTTGGACAAATGATGATTGGCTGGATGTTCCTCCCTACAAATGAAAGAAGAGACAAACATGAAATCCTGGATCCATGGCATTATGAAAACAGGTCTGATTCTGGTAACACATAACATGCCACCACACATGCGCTGAGGAAGGCACAAGCCGAAACGTATGTCAGTGTGAGGTCTATTAAGACATGTTGCTATGATATAATGAAAATTAAAACAAAGCTTCAAGAATTGCAACTTACAGTGCATTCGGAAAGTATTCAGACCCCTTGACTTTTTCCACATTTTGTTACGTTACAGCCTTATTCTAAAATTGATTAAATTGTTTTTTCCCCCTCATCAATCTACACACAATACCCATAGTGACAAAACAAAAATATGTTTTTTGAAATTTTTGCAAATTAAAAATGAAATAAAAACTGAAAGAGCATTTCAGACCCTTTATTCAGACACTTTACTCAGTACTTTGTTGAAGCACCTTTGGCAACGATTACGGCCTCGAGTCTTCTTGGGTATGACGCTACAAGCTTGGCACACCTGTATTTGGGGAGTTTCTCCCATTCTTCTCTGCAGATCCTCTCAAGCTCTGTCAGGTTGGATGGGGAGCGTCGCTGCACAGCTATTTTCAGGTCTCTCCAGAGATGTTCGATCGGGTTCAAGTCCGGGCTCTGGCTGGGCCACTCAAGGACATTCAGAGACTTGTCCCGAAGCCACTCCTGTGTTGTGTTGGCTGTGTGCTTAGGGTCATTGTTCTGTTGGAAGGTGAACCTTCGCCCCAGTCTGAGGTCCTGAGCGCTCTGGAGCAAGTTTTCATCAAGGATCTCTCTGTACTTTGCTCCGTTCATCTTTCCCTTGATCCTGACTAGTCTCCCAGTCCCTGCTGCTGAAAAACATCCCCAGAGTGGCGCAGCGGTCTAAGTCACTGCATTGCAGTGCTAGAGGCTTCACTACAGACCCAGGTTAGATCCCGGGCTGTATCACAACCGGCCGTGATCGGTAGTCCCATAGGGCGGTGCACAATTGTCCCAGCGTTGTCCGGGTTAGGGGAAGGTTTGGCCGGGGGGGCTTTACTTGGCTCATCGCTCTAGCGACTCCTTGTGGTGGGCCGGGTGCCTGCAGGCTGACAGCGGTCCTCAGTTGAATTATGTTTCTTCCGACACATTGGTGCGGCTGGCTTCAGGGTTAAGCGGGCGGGTGTTAAGAAGCGCGGTTAGGCCGGTCATGTTTCGGAGGACGCATGACTCGACCTTCGCCTCCCGAGCCCGTTGGGGAGTTGCAGCGATGAAACAAGATCGAAATTGCATGATGCTGCCACTACCATGCCTCACCGTAGCGATGGTGCCAGGTTTCCTCCAGACGTGACGTTTGCATTCAGGCCAAAGAGTTCAATCTTGGTTTCATCAGACCAAAGAATCTTGTTTCTCATGGTCTGAGAGTCCTTTAGGTGCCTTTTGGCAAACTCCAAGCGGGCTGTCATGTGCCTTTTACTGAGGAGTGGCTTCCGACTGGCCACTCTACCATAAATGCCTGATTGGTGGAGTACTGCAGAAATGGTTGTCCTTCTGGAAGGTTCTCCCATCTCCACAGAGGAACTCTGGAGCGCTATCAAGAATGATCATCAGGTTTTTGAAGGCACTTCAGCATTGAAGGCACTTCTCCCCCGATTGCTCAGTTTGGCCGGGCAACCAGCACTAGGAAGAGCCTTCAATGCTGCAGACATTTTTTGGTAACCTTCCCCAGATCTGTGCCTCCACACAATCCTGTCTCTGAACTCTACGGACAATTCCTTCGACCTCATGGCTTGGTTTTTTCTATGACATGCACTGTCAACTATAGGAACTTATAAAGACAGGTGTGTGCCTTTCCAAGTCATGTCCAATCAATTGAATTTACCACAGGTGGACTCCAATCAAGTTGTAGAAACATCTCAAGGATGATCAATGGAAACAGGATGCACCTGAGCTCAAGTTCGAGTCTCATAGCAAAGGGTCTGAATACTTATGTAAATAAGGTATTTCTGCTTTTAACTTTTTATACGTTTGCTAACATTTCTAAAACCTGTTTTCACTTTGTCATTATGGGGTATTGTGTGTAGATTGATGAGGAAAAACATTAATTTAATCAATTTTAGAATAAGGCTGTAACGTAACAAAATGTGGAAAAAGTCAAGGGGTCTGAATACTTTCCGAATGCACTGTATATCCAAGTGAGGGTAACACTTCATTTGGATAGTCCATCTGTAGATGCTCTACAGACTATCTACACTCTTTGAAAAAAAGGTGCTAAGTAGAACCATATAGGGTTCTTCGGTTTGTCCCCATAGGGGAACCCTTTTTGGTGCTAGGTAGAACCCTTCG